ACCTAGCTTAGGCCAGGGTAGTCTGGCTGGTACTGGCAACCAGAGCATTTTTGGTACTAGCATCCAGGGTAAAACTATTTGTACTATAACTACCACTTTAAGAGTACTGACAGATATTTAAGGAACATTTAATTTAGATTTCTGAGATTAAATCTACAATTAGGTTTCTATGAGTTACAATTAAAACTCTGAATGTGTCAGTTAATAGTAATCGTTGTAAGAATGACTGAGTAAGGGATAAAAATCGGGTGAGTGAGTGAGTGAGTGCAGTGACGTCATGACGATCTTGTTCAGTTAGTGACATATTCCAGCATGTGTGTCGTGTCACGCCACTCTTATGTTACCGTGTTCGTGTAGCTTATGAAGGCTGCTATTGGGGTGCTCTATTTATTTAAGCTCATTCTGATAATCATGTTAAGGTTAAAATTAAGTTCCCATTGTCTAAAAATTAACATAAATGTTGTGGTCTCATCTGTCAAGTGTCGATATTTATGTTAAAATGAATCGTTAATAAAGAAATTTGAACATTTCTTTATTCGATACATTTGATGTTTGATTTTCTTGACAACTAGCTGTCGCCCGCGACTCCGTCCGTGCGGTATTAAAAAAACAAAAATAAGTAGCCTATGTATTCTTCCAGACTATGTTTTACATCAAAACATCCATTTAACCATTCACATTTATAATATTAGTAAGATCAAATCGAGAAAAATGACGTCACAACATGTCGAATATTTACCATGCTTTTCAACTATCGTGATATCTGTTTATTTTTTATTTTATTTTTAAATTGACAAAGAGTTTGTAACTCTAATAAACTAAGTTTTGTGAAATGTGATATTTACTATACAAGATATTATGTGTTAAAGCTATATGTTTATGTTATCACATAAAAGCTGTATGTACATAGTACGTTGTATATATTAGTACAATACTAGTCGTGAACAATAACATGAGACCCTAGATGCCATAGAAACATTTAGTATGGTCAAAATAAATTACACCGTGAATTCTTAAATTTTAAGAGCATTTTTTGGATAGAGAAAAGTCGCAATATCCATGTATTGTAATATCCCATGTTATTGTGCACGGGTAGTATCTTTTTTTTAAACAATTATAGTATGTCTGTTACTTAACATTCCATTCAATGATCGCCGGAAATTACACAAGATTTTGATTAGTAACTAAAAACATTTCTTAGGGGTTTTACACAAAATCAATTGAACTGAATACAATAAACAAGATCAGGAAAAAAAGATCAGCTTGTATATACGAACTACTGTTTAATTCAAACGAAATTTAATCATTCTTTTAATATAAATTGATCTTTGTACTAACAATAATCTGCTTGTAACAGACTTGAAAGTTTACTAGAATGTTACCATTTAAGAAAATAAAAATATTACTATTAAAAGTTTGTACAAGTAAATTATTGCATCACAAGACCAAATTATTGCTGTTTTATTTCGAATATTTGTTTAGTTTTACAGTAGTTTGCATTTACAAGCTTAGCACTTTAAAATAAATAACGTGAATTTGTATCAAACCTTTGAAGCTTGCATTTTACAGTGTCCTTTTTATATTATAATATTGTATGTGATGAACAGACGTAATTTATAAATATTTTTTTTATAATTAAATTATTTAATAGTTCGATTTCGCTGCTTATTAAAAAGAAGAAACTCTGTGTTTAGAAACCTTTCCTGAGTGCCATCTATTTTCTAAAAGAAATTGAATATTTAAACTATTGTTACATATTAAGGAAATTGATATAGTTTGTAGAAGTGAACTATTGTAAATGGTGAACGTACTATAACGAAATAAAAAATATCTTGCATATTTCATATACAATAGTTCACCTCAACAAACTTAGCACTAGATTAGTTTTAAGTACAGATAGTCTCTTAAACTTAATAATATTTTTTTATAAAACTACCCGCGTAATAAAAAGGAATTGTACGTACAAAACATAATTTTGTACTGTAATATTCATGTAAGAATGAAAAATATTTGTTATAATATTCGTTTTTTCTCTGTCTAATTTGACGAATTTAAATTATGTATTCATGTTCGTAGGTGAGTTGTAAAAGAGCAGGAAGTTTTTAGCTTTTTTTATTAAATCAATGTTTTATATATAGTCGTATAATATCTACTGGTACTGAATAATATGGACTAAATAAAAAATTACCATATTTTTGTATAGTTTTTTTTTAATTCTATGCGTGTTGAAGTCGTGAACGGCAGCTATTAACAATCAAGGACATCAACTGTTAGGAGAGTCGCTGCTATCATGGTTTATTGTGTTAGAATACACATATAAAACCTACTTAGGCATGGAAAATGACATAAAAAATGACAACAGCCTGTGTACAAAGAGGATCTTGTGATATTTTCCAAAAGTACTGAATCAGTTTGGGAATTCTTTTACTGATTTGAAGCTTTACTATCTCCTACTTTTTTTTTAATTCCGCGTGGGCGATGTCGCGGTCAATTGCTAATGTCATAATGAAATCCGCACCTGATGATCTGATCTGATGAAATAGTAGCAACACTGATCGCACACATTATTGGATCCTGTCCTGTCATTGTCATATGTCAATGTCAGTTTTCAATTTTCATCAGTTTTCATTTTAATCAATAGAAAGGTGGTTGTTAAAATCTCGTGGTTTAGGGTTTCAAGAAAATTGAAAAAGGATAAACAGTTTTCTGTAGCAAAATGAATAGAGCTTAGTTATTGCTCTACTATAAAAAATATTAAGTGATTAAGTTATAATTATTCCATTTACAATGATTGCAAAAGTGCAATTCGTTGATATTATTGAACCGAGAAATACACAATTTGGTATATTTAAGTTTATGACTCGACCATGGTATCCAAAAAAAACTTTAATTAAGGACACATCTTGTACCCCAGAAGAAATAAAGGAAATCGTAGCATGTTCTACATATATTGACTCTTTCATTGAGGCGGTAAGGAAGTGGTTTTTTTATTATGTATTTCATAGGTTCGCGTGTTTCCTCGTTTTTTAACGATGTGAAAGAAAATTCAATTCAAAAGAATCTAAAGACAACACATTGGATCCTTATTTTTGCATGGGAATACATTTTGTAGTAAAAAAGTAACATGATATGAAAATTGCTGGCAAATTAAAGGGCGTAAACATCTAAAACTATAGATAATTTAACAGGTGCAATTTTATTTAATTGTATAAATGTTAGTACACAAATGTATGACTTCTTAATTGGACATTGAACTTATTAAGGTTGGTTATTCTTGTACATAAATATATCAATATTAAAGATACTAAGTGGACAAAGTACTCAGTCATGAAAAAATTAATTATTCAAAGACTTGCAAAATATTACATTTAAACCACAAAATTATAAACTAATTATTTAATACTTTTTTACTATTTTGTCTATAATATTAAAAGTCCATATCCATTATTATGAACATGGCCCTTTTTATTATTGAGCAGGGAGAACTTAAGTTCCCAAGCCAATGTCAGATTGTCGAATGGTTAAGAGTATGGATTATCAACTTAGGAGTTGTAGATTCAAAACTTACCATTTTACTATCATCATAAACAATATTTTATTAGGCTTTCAGCTTATCTAAAAGTGTTTTAACAACTGTGTTAAATAATCACTGAGGGCCAGTATACCGTAGAATTGCTATGAAAAATATACCCTGTTCTGTGGTAATTATTACTGTTTACTTGTAACAGGAGAGTGTAAGAAGTGGTGTACCTAAGGAACAGCTGATGAAGCAGGTTAGAGAACACCTAGAAGAAATGGGCATGGATAAGAAAATGCATGTGATTAGATGGATGGGAATTGTTTTTCTGAAGATCTCTTTCATGATGAGAATTGGAATTTTTGTCAATGAAACGGCAATTTTAAAGGTATGATATAATTTTGAATGTGACATTAAGTGTTAACATTTATTTGAATTAGTATGTCCACAGGGTAGCAAAAAAAACTTATTTTTATTTTTTTGTAGCCTATGTGTTTTTCCAGACCATGTTTTAAAACTATGCCAAATTCAGCGAGCTCCAATTTTGAGATACATTCAAATAAATCTACATACAATTATATAGCCATATATCTACATAATTATGAGCTATATAACACTAAAAGGAAATTATTTTGTGAGGATATTTTATTCTTATTAGGAAAAAATTTAATACCAATTAACTTATTGTATTTACTTATTTTTAGGGTTCCATACCTCATAGGAAAAAATGGAACCCTTATAGGATCAATTTGTTGTACATCCGTCCGTCTGTCAGGACCCTTTTTAATTTACTTATTGCTAGACAAGATTTATAAAAAAAGTTAATTAAATATTTTAACTAAATTATTGCCAACTTAATTAAAATTATATATCTTTCAATGCAATTGGCAGTTGGTCAAGGCTACATTGTATTTGACTTTCTCAGTGGCATTCAAATAGAAGTTAAGGTTGTTTGGATAAATATAATTAACATATTGATATCTCCACTATGTACTTCTTTCAGGAGTGTATTGCCCAAAAAACGTGACGTAATTTGACCTTAAAATTCAATGTCAATTGACACACTGTAAGTTTAAATAGCCGAAACACAAATACCAAAGAGTATTAGTAAATTAAAAAAAAAGTGATCTAATTTTTTTTGTTTTTTTTACTATTGTAACCAACGGTGATAGTATGGCATTTTTTAATGATTTTTTTTTACAGTTAAAAGAGCAAATGGGTAAAAACCCCATCGTATTTCTGCCGACGCATCGCAGTTACGCTGACTTTTGCGTGTTGACGTACATATGCTACCACTACGATATAGAGTTGCCGGCCGTTGCCGCGGGAATGGGTATGTATTATTTAATATCTACTTAATGACTGATTGCCTAATTTCTTATACTAAATCTACGCTATGGGAATCCCTTAAAAAAGGGAAGACCAATAAATGACCCTGAGATGGCCGTTACATACTGATATTCCAATACTCGTTTCTCCCCTATCCCTAGTCGTATATTCCTTTTCATTTAATTGCACATTTTTGATGTTTTTTATTAAGATCCGTATTGTTATAAAAACCTATTCAACAATCTTTAAAACAAAAATTTTTCGCCAAAATAAAGAATATTTTAAAGCTATGATAAAACATAGTTAACTAGAACTATAAATGTATTATCCAAAGGTCTAAAAATCTATACTAATATTATAAAACGGAGTTTTTTTGTTTAAACGCGCTTATCTTAGGAACTACTGGTCCGATTTGAAAAATTCTTTTTTTTGTTGGATAGTCAATTTATAGAGGAAGGCTTTAGGCTATATAACATTACGTTGCGACCATTATTTTTTTTAAATCCTCGCGGACGGATTCGCGGGCGACAGCTAGTATAAGAATAAACATATTAGTAGATCAGAGTGACTACAAACTTGCTAGTATTTGTTCGTTTCGCGTTAAATACAAGATCGCCTTGAACATACAGAACGTAGTACTTTATGTACAGCATGTACAAGAAGTACAAGCTTTGCAAAAAACATATTTATATATTTTCAATTAGTACTTTTTTAGAAATATTTCACTACAATAATCATCATCATCAGCTCACTGCATGTCCCCACCGAGGGGCTCGAAGCCTACCCTAAGTTAAGGGTGATTAGGCCATAGTCAACCACGCTGGCCAAGTGCGGGTTGGTTGACTTCACACATATCTTTGAATTTCTTCTCAGATATGTGCAGGTTGCATCACGATGTTTTCCTTCACCGTAAGAACGTCGGATAAATGTACATATATAAATCGGAAATCGAAAAACACATTGGTACATGGCGGGATTCTGTGCTTGTCCACTGAGCCACCGACGCTCTCGACTACAATAATAACTAGTCCGAATATACCAACAGAAATACTTTAGTTTTTTTTTCAAATTTATAAAAGATAGTATTTTGAAGCCCCCTATCACGTATTAATCTCGAATATCTATATAAAATGTTTTCTTATCACTTATGAATATTTGACCGATAAGTTATCGAATATATTACGCATGGTCGTTTTGAAAATACCTACATTTATAAAAAAAACTAAATATATTGACCCCTTTAATTTCATCAACATCTTGACCTTGTTCCTAAGGGAGGTCAAGGGGGTCGGCAAAGTACTCTACTCTTCCATACATCTCTATCAGCCATCAAATCTGGAATTAATGCCTTCTTACAAATAACCTCTTTCACACAATGCATTCATTCTTTGGTCTCTCTTTCCATTTTTAATATCTTAAGTTTACTTACAAAATCTAATTTACATCTTTTAGTTATCAATCAAAAGCTATGTTTAAATTAACGCGATCGCTTTGCCTTTTCTTTAGAAAACCAATAATTCATGAAACTTCTATATTTATAATAATAATATTATAAGGTTTAAAAGTAGGTAATTATAATACTAATTTTATTTTTCCTTGCTTTTTAATCATCATCAGCTCACTATACGTCCCCACCGAAGGACTCGGAGCCTACCCTAAGTTAAGGGTGATCTTTTTAATCATTTTAATGTAATTCTCATAAGCCACTAGAGGTCTCTAAATGGTGTCCTAAAAAAATAATCAAGTGATTGTAAATTTATACGCTAGTGGATTCAATCTTACTCTTACTAATATTATATATGCGAATGTTTGGATGGTTGGTCTCCAGAACGGTTGAACGGGTGTCGTTGAAATATGGCATACATGTAGAACATAGTCTGGGAGAACCTATAGACTATTTATTAAGTTTTTTTTTTAATTCCGCGCAAATAGAGTCGCGGGCGACAGCAAATTTTACTATAATTTTTAAAACTCACTACAACATTTTTTTACACAGGAAACTGATAAGATGACAGTCATACTTAAAAAGCAGTTGTGTTTATCTTTAATTTATTTACTTTGTCATTTTACATAATACGGCCAATTTACTAAGCTTCTATTATGTCACAAGTTTTATCGCTACACTGTACTAATTGATTGTCATCATTGTTTTTTATTTTGAACCGGTCAAAGCTAACGTCATGGGCGTTCAGGGGGGATGGAGGGGCAGGTGGTGACCTTCCCTCAATAAAGAACACTACTTCGAAATACGAAGATAATTACATTCCTTGTATATACAGCGTGTCCCAAAATTCAACGATAAGCCGATTATGGTGTATAGCCAACATTATCTTATGTAACTTTTAAACAAAGAGTTGGATTTTTTTTAGTATTTTCCTATGTAGCTATCGATCTGATTTTACACCAGACATATCGTTGAATTTTGGGACAAGCTGTATAAGTGGATATCCACGTATATAGAAAAAAGATACTCGTCAGCTAATTACAATTAGTAGGGTTGTTTTAGGCAGTGTTTACATTTATACCTTTTTAAAGTTTCCTTAAAATATGTTAGTGTTCAGTTTTCACATAATAGAAGTATTATAATTAAAATTTAGATTTCTATTCAATGGCGGTGGTTGGACAGCGGATGCGGGAGACTGGTGCTTTCTTCATCCGACGAACGATAGTGGGAGCGCCACTGTACGCGGCCACGCTGAAGCAATACGTGCGCACTCTGGTCGCGAAGTACCACGCCCCCCTCGAGTTCTTTATAGAGGGAACTAGGAGTAGAAGCAACAAATCATTACCGCCAAAATATGGTAAGATGCCCTTTTGCACTAGCAAAAACATAATATTAAGTTTGTACAAATCTACAATTTTTTTTATTTTATAAGGTGGCAAACGAGCGAGCGCCCACCTAAAATCGCTGAAATAGCGAAGTGACCGTTGCCCATAGACATAAGCAATTGCGTATGCGTTGCCTACCTTTAATCGACGGAGGAGGGGATGTACAAAAAGAAAATATTTTCCCTTCCCAGGCATCCTCTCATCCGGAAAGTCCACTTCCACTTGCCATTTTTTCCTTATAAGAAAAAGGGTGGGAAAGGAAAGAGGACTAAATTAGCCTCTGGGACGCACACTCATCAAACGAAACGCGGAATTGCTTCCACTTTAGGCATGTCTTCTGTGTGGTCGTGGTATTTCACCGGGCGAGCCGGGACTATTTGTGCCAAGATGTTAAAGCGGGCTCTACCACTTTGAATTCCATACATTACGTTGTTGAGGTTATCTAATTTAAAATTTTAAAAGTAGCAATACTTTTTTATGTTTTTGGTAAGCTACACACCATCAGTTTTGTTTTGTCTAAATGTGAGTATACGGCTTCAGTCAGCGTAAAAATTTCGCTTTGACAGTTTTTATAAAGGAAAAAATAATTAAAAGTTTAAGTTATTTTGTGGATAAAACAATCTACTTATTCATCACATGAGTTACCTATTGTCTGTAGAACAATATACCGCTTCAATTATGTCATACCAAAGTGGTTACTAAATATTATGACAACGAATAAATTGAACAATTAACAAGTTTTCTGTGTAACTGTGAATTTTTTAAATAAACATTACGCGTTTGTATTTCGACAATGACAAGATTTCTGATGAAATAAGTTTTTGTTTAAGAATCGCAATCTTTGATAGGATGAACTTCTATGATTTTCTTCACATAAAAAATATTATTGTATAGTTATCAATTGAGTATTTAAAAAAATAGATTATTCTTAATTAGTGTTTATCTTAGTTAATCTGAGTAATATTATAGCATTTGTTTTATGATTAAATCGTCGGATTTATGTGGACTATGCAACAAAAATAGTCTTAACTGTATTAGAATATCTATAGACTAGCAGTTGCCCGCGAATTTGTCCGCGGGGAATTAATAAATCTAGTAATCAATTATGCCTTTGTCATTCGGGCATAGTGTAGCTTCCCAGAAGTGAATGAATTTTCAATTCGGTTTAATGGTTTTAGAGTTTTTTTTGCAAAAAAAAACAAAAAATCATTAAAATATTTCCTCTTTATAATAAAGATCGACAAGGCAATCTGAACCGATGGGTATGAGTCAAATTAAATTTTGACAGCTCACTAGCGCCATCCTAAAATCAAAAAAGTCACAATATCCTTTTTGTGCTGTAGTTGTCATGCCATTTTTTTATGTCTAAGTAGGTTTTATATATATTCTGACAGAACCAACCGCGATAGCAGCGCCCCTCACCGGGTCAGATATTCTTGTAGAGGATCCTTGAGTATAGATAAATGTTGTATCATCAGGTATGCTGTCAATGAGTCTGATGGCGTACTTCGCGGGCGAGGTGTCAGATATAACTATCGTGCCTGTCAACTTCAGCTACGATCGCATCATGGAGCAGATATTGTTCGCGTACGAACATATCGGAGTGCCCAAACCTAAGGAATCTACGGGAGTAAGTGAATGTTAACTTTTTAAGTGATTCCGTCCGCGCGGGAATAAAAAAAACATAATTGTTAACATAATAGTAGCCTATGTGTTCTTTCAGACTATGGTCTATATATATGCCAAATTTCATCGAGATCCGAGCAGCCGTTTTGGAGATTCCTTCAAACAAACATCCATCCATCTAAACATTCGGTTTTATAATATTAGTATGTATTTTTTCATCAATTTGATTCAATAACTTTAAATAGAACAAGAGTCTATTTTTTACTTTAAAAATGTCAAAAATGTGTTTGTAATTCATAATGTGTTCTTATTCTCAGGGATTATTAAAAGCATTACGCAGTTTGAACGATCACTTCGGCAACATATACGTTAATTTTGGTACTCAGATATCTCTGAAGGAATACTTAAAGAATACAAACTTAGTAACAGACGAAACTTTAAAGCCAACTAGTCTCCAACAATTGACACCTGAACAATTGTCACAAGTACGAGACATAGCTGACGAAGTTGTGGTATTGCAGCAAAACAGCGCTGTAGCGATTATAACGAATCTACTAGCGTTTGTACTAATGGATAGCTTGATGAAATGTAAAGCGCTTCATTATGAAGAAATTTTGCTTGAAGTTCAATGGATGATGGAAGTGCTAAGGGGTTTAGGAGCATCTGTGTATGAGAAAGATATTGAAAATAGTTTGGATAGGATATTGGTGGTTCATCATAAAACAGTGGCGTTGGACAGAGAGAGGAGACTGCGTCTACTGACAGGTGACCTCATGGAGGTTTCCAGTGAAGTGTCTGCTAAAATGAAAGGTACAGTAATGTAGGCTATCTGACCCGGTGGACGTAAGTCGAACTAAATTTTGTTAGCTCACTAGCGCCAATCTGTCAATGTCAAAAAGTGACATAAACTCATTTTCGTATTGTAGCTGTCATGTTTTCTTCTTTTATGCCATTTTCTAACCGCGATAATAGCGGCCCTCTTATGGGCTTCATAATCTTGTTTGACTACAGATCGGCTTCTGATAGACTTTTCAAAACACCTGACCTGTTGGGTCATTGAAAATCTATTTTTATTACAGGAATTGTTGGTTTAGTAATATAATGATTTGAATTGCAATTATTCGTAATGTAAATTAAAATGCCGCATAATGTTTTTAATAACTTCATATGAACTTTTAATACTTTAAAATTTACGTAAACTTCAATTTTACGGTGTTTTCTTCATTTTTTTGTTATAAATATCATAGAAACTACATTTTTTTTCTTACAAAATTAAATTCGGCAATGGAGCATTCAACGTGTTAAATACTTCCAGGTCACATTTTGAAAGCAGAAACGATGATGACCGCAGTACCTGTTATACAACTTCAAATATATATTAATCCAGTGCTCCATTATATCATGAGCCCTGCTCTAGTATATGTTCTTGTCAAACGCGGATCAACTAATACTGGTATGTTAATATTTAGTACCAAAATCAATGAACTACTGAATTAATTGTTTGATTATGACAGTCTGAAGAATAAGAGCTTTGGTAGCTCAGGGATTAAGCACTTGACAATCAACAGGTCCTAGGTTCGAATCCTGCCATGTACCAATTTGTTTTTGGTTTACATATGTACATTTCATCAGCATCACTACTTTTACCTGTCGCCCGCGACTCCGTCCGCTCGGTATTAAAAAAAAACTTAATTATAAGCCTATGTGTTTCTGCAGACTGTGTTCTACATGTATGTCAAATTTCAGCGAGATCCATGCAGCCGTTTTGGAGATACCTTTAAACAAATCCATCCAAATATTCACATTTATAATATTAGTAAGAGTAAGATGTGAATAGTTATTTTATGTATATTAAAAATTACTAATGTGTAATATTTATAAAAAGTACATACAAACAGCTGTAACAATATTTATGTGTTTATATTAATTTCAGACAAACTAGCAAACGATTACTATCGATTAAGAAAATTGTTAAAGCACGAATTCTTTTACATCGAGAGAACTGAAAAAGATGTAAGTATAAGTTTGAATTTAAACAATATGACAAATAAAACAAAATCTATGTAGCCTTTTAAACAAAGGAACCAACAAAGAGGATGTACTTGCAACAGCTAATAAAAAAATATTTACAATTTTTTGAAAAAGGAACAACGATGTTTTTAAACAGATGTTTCTGCAATGAAAACTCAGGGTTGAAATACTCAGAAAATCTTCCACTTGGAAAAAAACACCTTAGTAAATAACTTATCAGTTATGTAAACAACTAATTTGTTTTATTATGTTATAATTACTAAGTCTTACAACTTTAGTAATTCCATTCAGAATATAAAATTTAATAACTCTTAAAACAATCGAGTAATTTTATTTGATTAATATTTTTATTAATAATTAATTTATTGTGATTTTATCAATTTTATTATTAATTTTGATGTGAATTGATTATATAAATTACTTTTAATGGCAAATTAATGACATTTGCTTCGTATTTTTCCACAGTCTCTTTAGATATTATGAGTAAACAAGATTTATACTTAAACTTAGTTGCCCGCGCGAAACTAAAAAACTTTATTATTAGCCTTATTCTTCCAGGCTATGTTCTACATCTATGACAAATTTCAGCGACTCATACTGCTATTCTGGAGAAACCTTCTAATATCCATCCATCTAAACATTCGCATTTATAATATTAGTAATTCAAGTACTACTTTTTAGATCTTAAACAAAGCAATAGATTACTGCAAACAGCATCATGTAGTTATCAACGATGAGGGAACATTGAGAGTGGGCGATGCAAACAGAATGCAGTTTTTGTTAGAGTGGGCCTTGCTGCCATTCCTTACCACATTAATGCTGTGTCTAGATGTTATCATTCAGGTAAGAAATTACCCCTTATGTACATATATTTAGGGTTGTATATTGCTTGACTTTCATGTTGTGATGACCTTTTGAACTAACTTTGAACAGTACGGTGCAAACTTTCCTCTAACTGTAATGTGTTATTACTTGCGCAGACATGCTATTGCTGTTTCGAGCTGTTATAAAGTTTGAATGCTATAATACTAATAGCTTTTATAAAGTTATTTTATTATATTTTTTACAATTCAGATGAGGCGGTGTGAGCACAAGCAAGTATTGAAGCTCGTGCAAGAGAGGGCGGAGCGCGAGGGGCGACACCCCTACTGTCTCAGCCTGGAATCTTCCGCCAACTGCCTGCAGGGCCTGCTCGCCACCGGAGCAATACTTAAGCATAAAAAGTTCGTTATTATTGGATTTTTTTTCATTAATTTTAGCCTATTACCTGTCGCCCGTAACATTTTCTACGTGGAATTAAAAAGCTAAGCTCATATGTGCGTTATTTTAGACTATAACTTCTCTGTGTTCCGAATTTCACCCAGATCCGTTGAGTTACTTTAACAAACATCCATACATCCATAGTTTCGCATTTATAAGTAAGGTTCATCTATAAATTGTCGCGTAATCTTGTCCGAAAACTTTCAACAATGACAACAGTCCTGCATACTTAAACATTTGCGTAAAATTATCGTAATCATTCTACACTAAAGTATAAAAGTTTTCAAATATGTTAATGGCTCGAAACTTCGCGCGAGTCATTGCACAGAATACAATGTAAGGTTAAGGAGCAAAGGCATTATAAATTTAGACGATAAAACTAAATATACATTTTTTCATTCCAGTGGTTCAGATAGTATTTACGAAGTGGTGCCAGCGGCGATGGAGAAATGTCGACAGCTAGTCAGTTCAGTGTTGCCTGAAATAAATACGGTGTGGGGTAGAAACAACCCCGTGTTCGAGAGACGCGCACCCCTCACCTCGCGTCTCTAGTTGTTACTTGTTGCAGCTAGTCTGGTTGTTATTGCGTTTTTATTAGAGTAGTTTTCTGACAAACTTGTATAAACCATAGTCAAAAGAAACATATAATATACGTCAAGACAAGTCTCACGACTGTTTCAAGGTTACAAAGAGATAAACACTTTCCATGCCGAGTTTTGTCGAGTATGCACATTGAACGTGTTATAATGCAGTTTGTCTCGATTTAGATGAAAATATAAAGAATAGAAATAGATAAGATGTTAAATGTATTAGCAGGTTCAAGATAGTTTAACCCTTATTAGCCTAGAATTTCAATTTTGATACCAATCTTTTAAACCCAATGTTCACATTACTATTAGTTTTTTTATAGGTTGGCTGTACTGTATTTAACTGTTGTATAATATTCTTTCCAACGAAATTAAAAAAAAAAACAAATTTCATTATTGTTTTATTTTAGCAATCAAACACAGTAATATTAAAAATAAATCACTTTCGTATGTAAATCAGGCTATTAAGGGTTAAGTGCTTACTTAATATTATTGGATTTTTTCCCAACTAGTTGTTATAAAAGTTGTAAGAGTTATGTGACCTTTGTTACGAGCATTTGTAACGTAAATTGTTATGAATTTTAATTAGATATTTATTGTTATAATCAGTATTCAGTTATTCCAAACAAAAGTATTTTTACGTAATTATTTAACAGTATTCTTATTTTCTGTTTTATTCGAAGTTGTTAAAATGAACTTTTTGGTGTTTCCCGATCGATCTATTGGTGTATAGATTACTTTATAAAGTGTAAGCCGAAGTCCCATTGGTCCGATTGATCGGAAGGTCGATTGGTCCAACGGGAAACACCCTGAAAACTTATAATCAGCTGTTTAAATTTGATAGAACTTGAAATAAATAAGGAAATATTAAAATATGCATTTAAAAAGTGTTCGTATTTTAAAAGTTTTACATATAAACTCAACAAAATGTCAATTCAAATGTGTTTTAAATTAAAAATATCAGTGCATTTTTATTACGAGACGATTGTTTCATTGTGTCCGTTGAGTGTATAGAATTAGAAAAATGAGTTGATTTCATTGAACCAACAAAAAAGAAAGGCTCTTTCATACAACAATTTATTTGAAGACCGTACCAAATATTAAATTACTAAATTAAAACTTTGGACCGTAATCTAAATTTTATGGAAGAATCTATTGCTCAGTTATCGTTATTTTTTAAAAATCAAAGTTGCTTCATATTATGTTAATAAGAGTAAATGGCTTTCTGTGTTGCCATTTATAATTCCTATTAAATAGTTTGTTTTATATTTTAAATTTGCCAAATATAGGGGCTAGGGTCCGTGATAACATTGTTTTTGTTTTTTTTTCTGTTATTGCGTACAAAATATGATAGATAAACTTTGTATAGAATTACCAGAAAAAGTGTTTTTACTTAATTTTTCATACATACCTTGTGATTGGTTATATAAATAAATACATTGATAAATAAAACATTTTATTTTCCACACGTCACAATTTATTCTATTGTGCTAGAGAATTAATAATTATTTCAAATTTTTCGACATAAAATAAATAAAAATGGATGGAAACAACTAAAAATTTTACACACTTTTGATGTTATAAATCCCTTAACACACAAGGCAACGCAAATATTAAAATCTAATAGATTCTTACCTTGTATACAAAGTGTTTAACAATCACTACACAAAACTGTAATAAACAAAAAAATATAGATTTTTTTTTAAATGGCGGCTCATAGTGATGTGGCAACACTGAGATCATCAGGCGTTACATTGCCAGTCATAATATACATATTATAATCACATTAAAATCTTTACAGTATTTACAGAAACATAATTATACGATATAGTTTTATAATGTGAAAAAAAAACAATAAACCCTTAAATGGTAGGACTGATTTTTTAAAATTTCATAGACAAAAAAAATGCAAGAATTAATGACAGACCTTGGGACATTTGAAACTAAATAAAACCTCGTAACAAAATATGGAAATATAATATAAATATTACAGAATAAAAAAAAAACTTTATTATATTTATAAAAATGTCTAAGTATAATAATCAAGTCCTAAGCTTTACAGTATTTTGCATTGTCATATATAATATTCTATTGTAAAATTTAAGTATTTTGCGCTATTTCATATCACTAAAATATTATCATTGTTTAACATAAAATAGCTTCATTTAAAAAATCACACCAAAACATTAAAAAAAAATAATTAAAAATTTCTTAAAATTATAAACATGGGGGTAGCAGTGCCCCCACCGAGACGATAACGTCTGCACCATCTTCTTTTATAAACACTAAAAGTTATCACTGATTTCTATTTTTTTTTTAATTTACTCATTTTAACTTTGTAAGGAATGTTACATTTTTAGTTAGAAGCATCAAAATATTACTTTAAATAGAATGACGCATACTTTTTTACATTTATGTATCGTAATAATTACTTTCAAATGATTACTAAATAATTTTATCCTGTTGTAACTAAAACTGTAACAAAATAAAACCTTAATTATATTTTAATTATAAAGTTAATGTTCAGTCAAAGTGATGTTTTCTATTTTCAATTTAATTAAAAAAAATCTTCATTAAATAAATTAGATTAAATAGATTTATATCACACAAAATTCTCAATCGTTATGCAGCAACGCTGCGGCTATCACGCGTGGGCGACGTGTTTATGCCGGTGCTAATTACCTTTAGAAAATTGTCATAAAAATCACACGTCTCGCTTCATCGCCGCGACTTACATCTCATGAATTACTTCTTTTTATTTACATGCACACTATTGATAGATGACACCATTACAGACCTACAAATTTATCTGACCCGGTGGACACAAGCCAAAATTAAATTACATTCACTTTAGCGCCCTCGGCAATATTAGAAAAGTGTTGCAAGATTCTAGTCTTACTGTAGTTATGCCATATCTTTTATATCCTAAATATGTCTTTATATTCAACCACGATACCGTCTCCCTTACCGGGACTGATTAGTTTGTTGCACTATAGTTATGTCATCGTGTGATGTTCAGACTCGCTTGAGGGTCTGGTTGAGGAAGACGGAGCGTATCTCCATAGGACAGAGCGTGATGACGCCGTCAGGCAGAGCGTCGCGCGCGCGCACCCACGTCAGAGAGCTGTCAAACACGCGCTCTGATGACACGTCCAACATGTCTGACAGACGAATCTGAAAATATAGTATGGTGGGTATCTATTGTCTAATCACCAGGATTACATTTTCAGGGGAACAGAGGCATTTCATCATCAGCTCACTATTCGTCCCCACTGAGTGGCTGCCCTGAGTTAGGGGTGACTAGGCCGTAGTTAACGCAGGGCAAATGCGGGTTGACTTCACATGTCTTTGAATCTCTTCTCAGATATGTGCAGGTTACTTCACGATGTTTTCCTTCGCATTACATTGGTACATGGCGGGATTCGAACCCAGGACAATTACAAGCCAAGTGCCTAACTCCTGAGCCACCAAGGATCCAAGTTTCAGTTTTGCAAATTTAAGGTATTAAGCATTTAGTCTCACTTGTCCATCTCCGAGTGGATACGAGGTGACGATGGATTTATTGCCGTAGCAGGAGTCGAGATGTACCCGCTGCAAAGTGACGCCCATCCCGTGCATTGACCTGCCCTCCTTGTCCTGTAAAATACACACAGTTGGGAACATACAAACATACATATTTATTTATAATATGGTTGTTATTGAACTTTGGTTTTATGAGAAAAAAACAAACAAATTGAGGATCTTCTCCTTTTTGAAATCGATTAATAAAAAGTCAAATAAGCTTGTCATGAACTGTAAATCAATTTTTATACCAAGTATATTTTAAATATAAGCGATAGCAACGCCTCGAGCGGTAGAATAGATAAATTAGTGGATTTTTTTCTTCATTGGTAATAATGTGGGTAATAAATATTTTTGTATACCTTAGCAGTAACGTGTGCATTGAACGATGCTAGTACGATGTCCGCAGCGTTGACAATGGAGCGCGAGTACGAGGGGCGCGGCGTGTTCTCGTCAGCGGCGTGATGCAGCCGCAGTAGTGGTTGCTGCAGCAGCTGCTGCGACACGTGCGCGCCCAGTGACAGCTGACCGCTCACTGCGCTTGATGACGGACGCTGAGAAAAATAAATAAAAATATGTGACGTCATCATATTTGTAAAGAGAAAGAGAATCCGAGAAAGACTTCTTCAAAGGGCAGGGGATAGATATTTCAATCCATTATATTATTTTATCTCCAAATTTTCTTCATTTACTTAATAATGTAACCTCTTTTCTTTATAGACAAACAGATCATTATGGAGTCATTGTATGTCTGCGTTTAGCCGTTTTGAAGATACGTAATTAAAAACATTCATCAAACTTCCGCATTTTCATTTAGAAAGAAGTAAGATACGATTAGGAAGGTAATATTTTTAATTGCTAAGTAAATTATGGTTAGAAAAAGATTTCGTAATTTTTATGAGAAAAAAACACACAGAGAGAGAAAAGAGCTACAAAGAAGGAGAGAAGGATAGATGCATCTTACTTGACAGGGCACAGCATGTTCTACAATCAGTTTGAATGTGTGTCTCGTGCGCACGTTGTCGAGCACGCCCTGGTTCACGCCGCGGTTGTCATCTCTCGTCAGCCGTCTGTCTTGCATCACCTACACGTACCACGTACTTTTATACATTTATTAATTACAATCCTTTGGCATAAATGACGCGTTTATATTACCAAGTCAAGTGTCAGAATTATTAGTGAGGGGACATAGATGTTGACATTTCAGTAAGGCTAGTGTTGTGCCAGTACACCGGCACAGTGTCGGATTTTCTTCCTAACCGTACAAAAAGGTTATACGCGCATAAAATAACAGTGAAAATAAATTGATTATGGATTCTCATAAATAATACAAAATACAGAAATTTTAAAAGTACTGAATCGGTTTTTAAAAAAATCACTAAGAGAAAGTACCTCAGAATTTGAGAAGTAATGAGAAGTGAATGATTAGGAGTGAATGATTGATGTATGATGAATGGTGAATGAGAATGAGAATGACCTCAATCTGTCCCGGCTGTAGCGCTGCGAAGCCGAGCGGGGTGGAGGTGAGCAGAGTGAGGCGAGCGTGTTCATCCTGTATGTAGGCGGCGGCCGGCAGCGGGTAGAAGTTAGCTTGCAGCGGCAATTTATCGAAGTATCGACGCTTTATCATCTGTTATAAGAAATTTACCTCCCTGTAGAAATTATATTTACACTAGTGGTTGTCAGCGACTTTGTCAGCACAGAATTCAGAAAAGTAGCCTATAATATGCCTGCATGCATGAGCTACCTTCCAGTCCAAGGCCTGTCAAAATCG